ACAAAGGAAGCCTGGTTTGAGCTGGCCATCTGGTGGTTATGATGTAAACTAGTGATGCAATCACACATGTTCTATGTTTTGGGTAATGACTTCACTCAGTAAACCAAAATGGAAAATTGGAAACGTGGTATTGTGGTATAATCTCATGAATACAATGGGATCGAAGGGTAGAAATTAATGAAAAGTCCAAATTACAGTTTACCAAAAAAATATATAGATACAGATATATAGGTATATTTAGTGTGTATATATATATATATATACATCTATAAATAACTCCAAAAATAAGATATTTTTAAATATTTTATTTTATTTTATTTTATTTTATTTTAATTGTATGTTATGTTATTTTTTGAGAGAGAGCATAGCTGGGGAGGGGCAGAGACAGAGGAGAGAGAGAGAATCCGAGGCAGGCTCCCCACTCAGCACAGAGCCCAACTCGGGGCTTGATCCCATGACAGTGAGATCATGACCTGAACTGAAATCAAGAGTCAAACGCTTAACTGGTTGAACCACCCAGGCACCCCTATAATTTTTAAATGTTTAAAATAAATGTGTTTGGGGCACCTGGGTGGCTCAGTTGGTTAAGCATCCGACTTTGGCTTAGGTCATGATCTTATCGTTTGTGACTTCTAGTTCCACATCTGGCTCTGCTCTGACAGCTCTGAGCCTGCTTTGGATTGTCTGTCTCCCTCTCTCTCTCTGCCCCTCCCCTGCTCTCACTCTCTCTCTCAAAAATAAATAAATAAACATTAAAAAAAACCTTTAGGGGCACCTGGGTGTCTCAGTCAGTTGAGCATCAGACTTCAGCTCAGGTCATGTTCACACAGTTCATGGTTTCAAGCCCTGCATTGGGCTCTGTGCTGACAGCTCAGAGCCTGAAGCCTGCTTGGGATTCTGTGTCTCCCTCACTCTTGCCCCTCCCCCACTCGCACTCTATCTCTCTCTCTCTCACAAAATGAAATAAAATAAAATAAAATAAAATAAAATAAATAAATAAATAAATAAATAAATATTTTAAAAATGTAAGATGGGTTGCAGGGTTCTTATAAACTTAGAAATTATGTCAAGCAACCCAAGTAGACTTATAATGTGAGCTACTTGGGATCCTATGATGTCCAAGAACAATGGATATGTGATGTATATAAAACTGTATTGCTAAGAAGGAAATTGGAGGAAGCAAACATTCAAATTTAGAGTTTAACTTGGACTGTCCCTCCCAGCACTCTCCCCCCCCACTTACCTGACCCTGGCCACAAGGGCCTGCTAGCTCTTCCTCCTTGATTATAAGACTCACTCCAATACAGCATCCTTCACAGATGGTTCCCTATATATGGGATTCTTTTGTCTTTAGGCTTGCACAGAGAAGTCACTGTGTGTTGGGGATGAATCACTGTGTGGCTAGGAATTAGTTATGAAAATATAATCCTTTCTCTGAAGAGGGAATCTGGCAGCCAATTTACTTGAATGGGTCATCCATAGTAAATGACTAACTAATGGACATTAAAAAAGAGTTACCCACAGGAATGGCCTTTGTCTCTTTAAGAAAATGAGTAAACACATAAGTCTTAAGACTTTGAGTCATGAGGCCTGTGGCCCAGCAACGCACCACTTCCCTTAAGGGGTTAGCTGCTGGGATAGCCAAAAGAGTTGTTATAGAGACAAGGGATGAGTCACCCTCTTGCCTTTCTTTCTGGTTATCTTGAGTCATTTCAGAGATAGATAAAGCTCATGCCTCCCTACTTAGCGGGCTTACATCTAATGGTAAGATCAGACATGCTTTTGGCTTCACCTCCTTACTCACATGTCCCCTTCGGTGCCACTTTAATGCTTCTTAAAACTAACAGAAGGATTTTGCTGTGATCAAGGTATGCCCAGGGAATTTATAACTTCTATACGTGCAGTAAAAAGGACTCATTAGTACCCAACCTGAAGCCTTTACAAACTCTTCCAAGATAAGTGTAAAATGCAATCTAGGGGCATCTGGGTGACTCAGTCAGTTGAGTGTCCAACTCTTGATTTTAGCTCATGTGGTGATCCCAGGGTTGAGGGATGGAACCCTGCATCTGGCTCCAGGCTGAGTGTGGAGTCTTCTTGGGATTCTCTGTCTCTGTCTCTGTCTCTCTCTCTCTCTCTCTCTCTCTCCTCTGCCCCTCTCCCTGGCTCTCTCTCTCTCTCTAAAAAAAAAAAAAAAAAAAAAAAAAGCAGTCTAATAAAATCATTAAAAACATCAATGAGTAACTTCTATGTACAGATCACTGTGCTGTTTGAAATCAGGGAGAAGCCCAGTATTAATCCTCAGACAATAGGTTGGCTGATTTATACAGGTACAGAGATTTTAGGACCATGATGCAAAGGCAAGACCCTAGGAGAGGCAGCTCTCCCGGATGGGGAGGCTCAAACAACAGATTCTCTTCTCACAATTTTAGAGGCTGTAAGTCTGAGATCAAGGTGTCTACAGGCTTGGTTTCTTCTGAAAGGCCTCTGTCCTTGACTTCTAGATAGCTGTCTCCTCCCTGTGTCCTCACATGTTCTTTCCTCTGTACATGTCTTTGTCCAAATTTCCTCTTATAAGGATACCACTCTTATTGGAGTAGGGCCCACCTTAATGACCTAATTTTAACTTAATTACCTCTTTAAAGACCTTATCTCCAAATACAGTCATTCTGAGGTACCGAGGGTTAGGATTTCAACATACAGAATTTGGGGAGACACACTTCAGCCCACAACAGAGAGCGAATGGGAAGGAACGGGGAGAGGACAATTGTTACTTTAGTTGGTGTGGTCAAGGAACATTCCTCCAAGGAGGTCATGTTTGAGCTGAGATAACAAGAAGGGGGCAGCCATGTAAAGATCTGAGGAAAGAGGGGACAACGCAACGGAAACAAGGGCTGGAATAGATATCTATTGCACGTCTCCTGCCCTGGAAGCCCTCTCCTTGCCATACTCACAGGGCGGCTCCCAGCAGCTATGTTAGCACCTCATGTCCTCTCACCCGAGCCAGAGTTGATAGAATCAGCAGTGAACTATTGAAACAAGCTGAGCATTTGGAGTCTCTCACCTGGGAGCTGGGATTTCAGCCCCTGAGAGACCATCAGTCACTTGGTACGTGTGGCTGTGAGACAAGACACACAGAAAGGTCTAAAGTACTTCAACTCCTGGTTCCAGGCCTTTTCAGAGGGCTAGTCTCATTTCTGCATTTGGATTTTATATGTCACTCTTGCCACCACCCCACCACCCCATGGCTTTTAAAATCCTTTTTTCTTCTTGGGCTTCCTGGAACGGGTTTCTGTCACAAGCCACCAAGTCACACCCTAACACAGAATGTAGGCCCTCAGGGAACTCCCCGGAGAGTCTGCATTGATTGTGGAAGCCTGCATCCTCCATGTGTGCTGCTCTAGAGTTGCACTGGAGAGAACTGGCTTCTGGTGATGTCACCATAGCTACTGCTGTTTGATTCCTGTTCCAGGATGTCTTCACTTGAATGCACACTGCCCACCCAGGGGCATGGGAGACTATTGGGAAGTCTTTTCTGGGAACTTGGCCTTGGGTTGCACTTTCTCTGCTAGGCAGCCTGTCCACTGTCAGCTCAGGCTTGCTCAGATCCACAATTTTCTGGTCTTCATCCCTAGGAGTTCTGGCCTCCATCGTGCTATATTCTGCTTCCCACACATCCCTCAACAGATTCTTTCCTCCTCTCTCCCCCACAAATCATGCTTTCCCTCACAAAAAAATACATTGCTTGCTTTATATGGATTTCCCATATAAAGCATATATGGGCCTTTACTGAAGCTAAAGCAGTCAAAACACACTGACTGCAACCTCTCCAACCCACTAGTCTGCCAGGTTGGGGAAAGCAGAGGTGAGGAGGCCAGCTGGAAAGTGCATCTGACCCTGTTGATAGGCATCGCCTCCCTGGAGCCCCAGAGCTCTCAGTGCAAACAGAACTCTGGACATTGCAGGGTGGTGGCAGGTCGGGCAGAACAGGACTGACAGGCTCTTGCGGAGATCCATTGGCAACGTCCTGTGCATATTTTCAATGCATTTGCTAGTCAGCAACCATAAATATCTCTGTGGAATGAACTGGGGAGATCTGGTTTGTGCAGAAAATAGGAGAATATGAAGGAGGATTTTCCCCTTTCTGAAACTTTGTAGGGCATGCCATGTACTCTGAATGCACAAGGACAGAATCAAGGTCATGAGCCTTGAAGAGAAGCTTAGAAGCACCTAGTTACAGCTGACTGTTTACTATAAACTGTGGAAGTCTGGGGGCACCTGGGTGGCGCAGTCGGTTAAGCGTCCGACTTCAGCCAGGTCACGATCTCGCGGTCCGTGAGTTCGAGCCCCGCGTCAGGCTCTGGGCTGATGGCTCAGAGCCTGGAGCCTGTTTCCGATTCTGTGTCTCCCTCTCTCTCTGCCCCTCCCCCGTTCATGCTCTGTCTCTCTCTGTCCCAAAAATAAATAAACGTTGGAAAAAAAAAATAATTAAAAATAAATAAATAAATAAACTGTGGAAGTCTGTTGCCCACAAAATCACATTTTAAGTCATATCAGAGCATGAGGCAGCAAATGGTGATAGGTATTTCTCAGGGGAAGGCTAATTCCTTCTAATCCAAGTTGTAAATCAAAGCTCTCCAAATCCCTTATTATCATTAGCTGTAATAACTCTGATCATGGGACACTCAGAGCTACCTGCCCATGATCCAGTCAGGAGTAGATGTCAAGGGTCTTACAATTAAACAAGAAGCTTCTGTTTGTTCTACATCTAGCATTGAACTGAAGGTGGGGTAGGAATTAGGCCATGAAAAGTACAGTTCATGTTTATAGAGATGAGAGTGGGCATTATAACCTTGAAGTTAGTAAAAGCCCTTCCTGGGGGCAAAGAAAAAGAGCTGAGGGATTGATTCCTCTTGATGTCTTCATATAAAAGCAAGAAAAGTCTACCCAATACTGGTATAGCATTCCAGGAGATTAACTGTTATTTATTACCTCCCCTTCAGATAAACAACAGTTTCAACTATAACCATTATCACTACCCACTGCTCATCCTGCCTCCGCTGCCAACTTGTTCATCATGTCATCAGTAAGGCATAACCTGTCTCCTGTAGAGGACACACAGGTAAGACATGTTTCCTGCCCTCAGGGAAGTCCCGACTGTTGGGTCAGACACCCACATACATAACTACGGTACAGTGTAATGACTGCTGGAGCAGCGGAACAGGGTGCGTGCTATAGGAGGATGGAGCAAGGGACAAGGTATTCTTCCAGGAAGTGCAGAAAGATGGGGGAGGGCCAATGGAAACAGCCTGACCAGATCCAGTGAGGGCCAAGTGTGCCCATGCGGGCAATGGGAGAGAACACTTACGTTGGTTTATTGTGCACCAGAGCTCTGCCAGGTGCTTTCTATCACTTAACTCCTCTCATCCTCACAACAACCCTATTTTCCTCCATTTTGCTAATAAGGAAACTGAGGCTCACAAAGTCAAATAACTTGCTGAGAGTCATACAACTAGGAAGTGGCTGATGTGGGGTTTGAGTCCATGCTGTGAACCGTGGTGCTATTCTGTGCTGCCCGAGAAAGCTCAGGGAAGTGTAGGGGGAGGTGGATGCGCTCTAGTCAGATTCTGAATGGCCATTAATGCCTATGCTTTATTATTTTTTTAAGTTTATTTATTTATTTTGAGAGAGAAAGAGTGAGGGGGGAGGGGCAGAGAGAGAGAGAGAGAGAGAGAGAGAGAGAGAATCCCAAGCAGGCCTCGCACTGCCAGCACAGAGTTGGATGCGGGGCTCAAACTCACGAACCATGAGATCATGACCTGACTGAAACCAAGAGTTGGATGCTTAACCAAATGAACCAGCCAGGTGCCCCAGGGGGACCCTTTTTAAACAGACATGATTAGATATATCTTTGTTTTAGAGGGATAAAGCACAGGCTGGATGAATGATGAATCAGGGGAAAGAGGGGCCAAAAGGGACAAAGAGACATAAGAGACTATTGTAAAACTCCGAGAGAGCATCCAGAGCAGTGGCAATGGGAGAAGGAAGAGGTTATCTCCATTTGTTTACCAAAGAAGTTTTAGAGCTGGATGGCGAATACCTGGCATGTATACCACCACCCACAGCGAAGCCAGGAACTGAGGTCAGATGCTGGTGAGATCAGAGGCTGCCTCAGAATCCTTCCCAACACAGTGCTCTCAACATAGTAGTAGCAACTACTAATTGATCAGAGCCAGTATATTACATGAAACCTATTTGCCATCCTTTGTTGGAAGGGACATTTCAGGTGTGAACTCTAATAGGACTCAATGGCACATGGAATGCCTGAATGAGGAAAAGAGGATAGTCACAGATAACTTTCAGGCTTCTGACTTGGGTGCCTGAATGGAAAGTGATGTTATTTGTTCAGACAGAGAACAAAGGAGAAACGGGTTAGGAGGGAAAACCATGAGCTTTGTTTTGTAGATACTCAGATCTCAAATCTGAGATACTCAAATACTCCTTGCGGGGTGTGGTGCCTCCCTAAGATTCTCTCTCACACAAGAAAGAGAGAAAGAGGAAGGAAGGAAGGAAGGAAGGAAGGAAGGAAGGAAGGAAGGAAGGAAGGATGGAAGGAAGGAAAGAAGGAAGCAAGGAAGGAAGAGAAAGTGTCATTGAGGTGTGGAAAGTGAATGCCATCTCCCAGAATGAATAGAGGGGAGGAGGGCTAAGGATAGAACCCTGGGAACCCCAATCCCTCAGCATTGTAAGGGGAAAGAAGAGAGCACTGTCTGATAGGGAAAGAACATTAACAGATGGAGGTAGTCAGGGGTGTTAGACACTGAGGAGAGGTCAAGAGCAATGTTTAAAGTTGCAGTGAGGATTTGGTAATGGGGAGATCCTTGGTGCCCATCTTGAGAGAGCATTTTCAGTAGTATGGGTTTGGTAGGAACCAACTTATGTCGTTCAGTGGCTGAAAAGAAGGTGAGGAATATAAAACTACTCTGTCAAGAGCTCTGAAGGCGGGGTTAAGGGTGTAAACCAGAGCATGAGCAGGAAGGATCAAGTGAATAGGAAGAGATAGAAGTTGAAGAGGGGAGGCAGCAGGTACACACAGAAGCAAGAAGAGATTAATTAAGAACTAAGAACAAGGAGGAGTTCTTGGAAACAACAGACATTTATCACAGAGTGTAATTTTACATTTATTGGTGTGATTCTTACCACGAGTCCAAGGCTCTTTTTTGGTCACTATTTTATCCTCAGGGCCCAGTAAAACACCAGCCACTGAATAAATATGCATTCCATAGAGTGAATAAATGGCTGCATGACATTGCTTCTTTTTAGACCTGAAGGAAGGAGTCACTGGACTAATGTTCTTGGTAGTAGGGGTTGGAGAAAATCATTTTTAGCTGGTGATAAATGAATTCAGCAGAATTCATATAAAAGCTATACCAGAATTATCACTCTTTTTTTTTTTTTTTCAAAGTTTATTTATTTTTTTGAAGTGGTCCGAAGTGGGCTCCATGCTGCAGCAGAGAACCTGATACGGAGCTTGAACTTATGAACCATGAAATCATGACCTGAGCCAAAGGCAGATGCTTAACTGACTGAGCCACCCAGGTGTCCCTAGAATTTTTACTTTTAAAGGCAAAGAAAGAGAGGGAAGGCAACGGTCATTATTTCCTTTAAGAAATACACAAAGTCGTGTGAGGATTTGTGACATCAGTAATTAGTGATGGAGGTGGTACTTTCTTTATAATTTTCTCATTTCCAGAACTAACAAGGGGCACCTCAGTGGCTCAGTTGGTTGAGGGTCCAACTTTAGTTCAGGTCATGACCTCATGGCTTGTGAGTTCAGCCCCATGTTGGGCTCTGTGCTGACAGCTCTGAGCCTGGAGCCTGCTTCAGAATCTGTGACTCCCTCTCTCTCTGCCCCTCGTCTGCTCACACTCTGTCTCTCTCTTTCAAGAAACAAAAACAAAAACAAAAACAAACAGTAAGAAATAGCACCCAAGATACATACAGAGTAACCAGCTCAGTTTTCTAGCATTTATCTGGTCAGCAGAAGCTTTCTAGAAGAAGTACGCTTAGAGAAGCACTACTTTTTAAAATATAAGTATGGTCAAGTCTGGGGAAAAAAATGTTCCTTCTGCTTGTGTCTTTTTTTCCCCTTGGGATTAAAAAAAAATTTTTTTTAATGTTTTCCCTTTGCCATAGCCTGTGAGGAAACACAATTATATAGCTGTTTGCCAAAAAACACAATAGTGGCAGTGACATCATCAATTTGTTCCTCTTTATAATTAAGATGAGATTGATATGAAAAAATATTTTTATTCCTTTAATGATACTGTAAATTCTATGTTATTTCTTCTGCTCTTTCTCATCTGCTTATCTTCTTTTTCTGAAGGGTAGACACTTTAATACATCAATCATTTCCAGGCTCCCGAGTTATTTTAGACAGCTCTCTCTAACTGTGTCACTGCCTGTTCCTCACCACCTCTTTATATTTTCAAACGTCAGTGAATTCTGGGACAGGAATCAGTGGCACCTCAAGGACACAGAGCAGGCCCTAGGGTCTCAGACTTCCCACTTCTAGAAGGGATAGAACCCCTGTTCCTTATGGGGATTGTATGGTTGAGTGCTAACTCCTTTATTCTCTTGAAACGAGTATGAAATTCTTAGAGGACAAGTTTGAGTAAGGAAAACCCAACAAAGTTTTGACTCAGAGGTCAGTTGGCCTTACAGAGGCCTCCAGCTTCAGTCCTCCCAAAGCTGGAGAAGAAGCAGAGTCCAAAGAAATGGGTTCCTTGACCATTGTTCCCCAAAGCCAATACCCTATAGAGCAGATGTGTTAACGCTTTGGGTTAGGTCTCTGGCTGTTTTTTTGTTTTTTTTGAGAGAGAGAGAGACAGAGAGTAAGTGGCAGAGGGGCAAAGAGAGGGAGACACCAAATCCAAAGCAGGCTCCAGGCTCTGAGCTGTTGACACAAAGCCCGTCGTGGGGCTCTAACTCATGAACCATGAAATCGTGAACCGTGAGATCATGACCTGAGCCAAAGCCTGACGTTCAACCCACTGAGCCACCCAGGTGCCCCTCTTTGGATGTTTTTTAAAAGATGGTGCTGGCAGTTCCCCCATATTATCACAGTGGAAATCAAATCATGTGCTCCTGTGTTTGGAGATCAGGGCACCTCCTATTCCTCGCTCAGTGGGTTTAGAGTCATTTGTTATGTGCCCAAGCAAGAGTATCTCTGGGGAAATCCCTTCTTGTCCTGCTGCTACAGGTAAGCGTGTCCAAGCATTTAGAAATAGGGCGTTCTCACAATTTTAGTGCATGTGGGGAAATCACAGATGGAACTCAAGCCAAAAAGCACGGTTTATTGGCTGAGTTGGCAGCAAAGGCTCTCACCACCCAGGAGACTTGCCTCAGACAAGTATGGAGTCTTGAATCTGGGTGTAGCCCCTCTAGGTAGATCAAAGCTCCAGACTTGATTTGAAGTCACAGGGAGCCTGGGCAGTTGAATGGAAGCAGTGGATATTCTGGCACTAGTCAAAGCCATAATGATCTGCAGTTCAGTCCTCTGTGCACTAGGGCATGGTAGAGGAGACAGAGGCACTCTGGGTGGGATTGTGGGCAATCCTATATTCATATTTAGGGCCCATATTCATAAAGAGCCTTAAATTTGACCTTTTGTGCTATCTGCAGGTGAGGTTATGAATTCAGACACAGAATTATACTTTCAGGAGGGAAATAAAGACAATGTTCATTATATAATTTTAATTTTAAAAGCACAAACATTAAGAATACTATGATTTGGGGGCACCTGGGTGGCTTAGTTGGTGAAGCATCAGACTTTGGCTTAGGTCATGATTTCATGGTTTGTGGGTTTGACCTTCATGTCAGGCTCTGCGCTGACAGCTCAGAGCCTGAAGCCTGCTTCAGATTCTGTTTCTCCCTCTCTCTCTGTCCCTACCCCGCTTGTGCTCTCTCTCTCTCTCTCAAAAATAAATAAACATATTAAAAAATAGTATGATTTTATTTTCATTTATTTACTTTTTAAGTAGGCTCCACACCCAATGTGGGGCTTGAACTCATGACCCTGAGATTAAGAGTTGCATGTTCTACCAACTGAGCCAGCCAGTG